GAGGTAGGGGAACTATGCTACAGCTAGGCGATAAGGTTAACTTATAAGAACAGCTTGAGAGTGGCTTTCCAGAATCCTTATCAATCCTTGTTGAAGTTAGTGGTAAACAATTTATAGTTGTGTTGGCATGTACCCCCACGATATGATTAAATTTGTCAATGAGCTCGATAAGGAACTAGAGCGTCTTGCTCAGTATAAAAAACCGATAATTCTAACGGGAGATATCAACATCGATACACTACAGAAAAATAAGTTACAGCAATCATATCTGAACACAATAATAGCAAATGGGTTTGAACTTTTGAGTAAATCTGCAACTCGAATGAATGACACATCAAAAACTTGTATAGAACATTTTATAATCAGGAATTTAGAAAATCCGACCATTGAAGTATTAGATAATGAATGCTTTTCTGATCATTATCCCATACTATTGAAATCTAATTTTGACATTAAAGGTGCTTTATCAAGTAATTCATTTCGTGATACGTCCTTCTTAACAAAAGAAAATAAAATGAAGGATTTTTTGGTTAAGTTTGAAAAAAAACTTAGAAGATGCAAATCTGATCAGCGATAACAACATAGACCTTGCGTACAAAAAGTTCAAGCACAGCTTGATGAAATCCTTAAACCTTTTGCATCATTACGTAATATGATACGCAAAAGCAAAACTAATGCTCCTTGGTTCACTAAAGGCTTGAAGAAATTGTTTATAAAAAGAAAATCGCTTGTACAAATTGTGGAAGTCAGACAAATTGAATTCTCTTAGAAAAGTTTACTTTCTTAAGCATCGTCAAAAAGTCGAAAAATTTATAAGAATCGCGAAAAAAGATTATTTCTATCAAAAATTTAATATATGTATTGGAGACCCGCGACAAGTTTTAAAGTTTTAAATGAAATAAATGGCAAGACCGCAAAATCATCAAAAATTTCAGCTCTTTTAATCAATAACAATAAATTATCTGACCCCGTTCTAAAATCTAACGCTTTTAATGATTTTTTCGCTTCGGTAGGAACCAAGTTAGCAAGCAAAATTGATCACGTGGAGCCAGTGATTAAAATAGAAGACGTAAGCCAATCTATGTATCTCTTTAATAGTACAATTTGTGAGATAATTGATGTGATAGAGAGTCTGAAGCCCAAGCATACTTGTGGCATCGATGGAATTAGTAACCTTTTTTTTAGTTAAAAGCAGGTATGTGTTAGCACCTTATTTAACATACTTAACTATTCTCTCATTTTGCTCCGGTATGTTTCCTTAAAGCCTCAAGTATACTCGGGTTTTACCTCTTCATAAAGCTGATAGCAGAATAATTATGAACAATTACTGTCCAATATCACTTTTAAGTAGCTGCAGCAAAGTTATTGAAAAAATCATGCACTCTCGATTTTACAATTATCTTGAAAAGTTTGATTTACTGTATCGTCGTCAGTTTGGGTTCCGGGAGAAGTTTGCCACATTTGATGCATTAGCTGAATTGACTAAAAGATTAAGACTAGGTGTTGATAAAAACATTAAAAAGCGAGATTATTTTGAATTTTTTTTTTAATTTGAAACTCCTACCATGTAGTTGGGGGGCTGTCAGAGTAATCTCAGGAATTGTAAGCTCGGCCTCAAATGAAGAATGCCCAAATCATTTCTGTTTAAGGGATAAAACAATTTTTGTGATTTTTTTTGGAAATTTTCAGAAAGCTCAAAATACAAAAAAATTTGTTAAAGTGAAATTCCCAACCCTGTAGGCAAGGTAATTAGAATGCTATGGAGTTCTTGGAAAATTATAAATGATTCGAAAGCTATCTATCCAATAGGTAGCAATGTGTACATGTAAACAACTGTTCATCTGATTGGTTGCAAGTAAACACGGGAATACCTCAAGGCTCTGTTTTAGGCCCTCTTGTTTCTTGTTTATTTTAACAACATACAGCACGCAGTTTGCAATTCAAATGTGTTTCTATTTGCAGATGATACAAACATATCATGTCAAACATCCATCTATAAAGAATACAGTTAGACTTGACCAACATTTCTTCCTGGCTTTGTTCAAATAAATTAACCTTAAACTCAGAGAAAACTACTTTAATTAATTTTACTAAGGATAGAAGTGCTTCCATTCTTTCTATTGATATACTTGATTTTACTTTTCAGCCAAAACTTTTTTTGCAAATACCTAGGTGTCATTGTAGATGATAAGCTTAAATTTTTTCACCATATACAGAATGTTCAATCAGAACTAGGTCGTCACAGTGGTGTAATATCAAAAATGAGACTTTTTGTATCAAGATCCATCCTACTGAAACAATATGTCGAATATCAAGCCAATAATACAAAATGGCTTGCTCGTCTACGGCGGCACGAGTTCTTCTTTTTTAACTTTGAATATGCAACGAAAAATTGTTCGCATGATCTGCTTCAAAAGGAAATTTGATATCATTACTAAATTCTTTTCTGATAACAAAATACTAACAGTTCATGAGTTATGTGTACGATTTGATGAAGTTTTGTTTACGATCACTAAATCAAAAACATCCAACTTGTTTTCTCAATTCTTTGTTTACTTTTAAAAATTTTGCCTATAATACGCGATTTTCAGAAGGTCAATCATTTGTTCCACCATTCTGTAAGAATAAGAAAAAATCATGTTCTCTGGCTAATAGGGGTTCAAAGTTATTGAATATTATGAGTAGAAATAAGCTGTTACCCGAAAATATTGGATTGATGTCAAAAAATGAAGAATAAAGCTTCGTCCATAAATTTAAAGATAATTGCATTTCTGGCAATTAAGAGTTGGTGCAAAACATATTTCTATGAAATTTTTTTAAATGGTACCCGCTATCAAACAACCATTCTAGGGTTGCGATTCTATGCTGAAAAAATGACACTCCAAATCCTTGTAGTTTTCGAGATATCTCATTTTTTTTTCTTTCATATTATTTCTCATACCCTTAGTTCGTCAGAGGGAATGAGAATTGGCCGAAATGACAGGACCAGATGTAAAAACTATTCCTTAATGAGGGCTTAATTTTAGGGGGAAAATAAATTTTTCCCACAATCCTATATTTATTCGAATGCAAATTTATCTTTATTACTTAGTTGCAATCATAATTTGTTCAACGGGTAGACGCCAAGTAGGCACATACTGCGCCTTTTGTCTATCCCCTCCATTTTGTTGATTTGATAATTTAAATAAATTGATGCTTGTATTATCAACTATATGGAGAAATAAATTCTTCTTCTAATTAAACCAAAAACAAAGAGGCAAAGCTAAGCTTCGCCCCAGTTGTAATACAAATAGATCTATCAAAATGAATGAAGACAGTTGCAAAAAAAATCTTGCAAAAAATCATACCCAAATAGCATAATGCAAAACCAGCTTCGGATTAGCACCAACCAGGCGGCGACAAAGCCGAAAATACCTGAGCAGAAACTCGTAGAGACAAAATCGCTGAAATTGTTTCAAAAACTTTATAATCAATATATTTACAATCATTTCATTATTTTCAGTATCCAAGTTAGCTGCGTACTTTCATAAGAAAAATTGAGCACTTCAACCTCATTGGTTAACTTCAAATTACGTTCCACGTAGAGGCTTTATTCTGATCGAACAATTTGAAAAATAATGAGAAAATACCTGAGCAGAAACTCTTCCAGCCAAATTTTTTAATTTCATAAAATTTTCAAACACAGGCGAAGCGGAGCTTCGCACCGCTTGCGATGCAACAAAAAACGGCACGGCAGCTAGCCCAAAAAAGATACGCAAGATGAATTGAAAAAAAAATTAAAAACTAATTTTTTAAAGTTTGTCTGGAATGCAGGTAAATTTAATGAAAAATGCAATTGCCAGTTTAAATAATCATTAAGAATAAAGTTCGTTGAGCGGATAATGAGGAGACAAAATTTGAGTAGACAATTGTCAAGCCGAACTAAAATCAAACTCAAGCTATAAAACATTTTGAGCCAAAAAAAAATTCTAAGCAACCCCCACCTTCCCTTCCGTAATCACAAAAGCAATTTGAAAAATTTGATGCTTCATACACCGAATTAACAAGGAACTAAACTAATATGCATCAGCCGAAACCATTTAAGCCGAAAAAACCTTAGTAAAAAAAGCAAAGATAAAAAAGCGAAAAAAGATAATTAAAAACAGGAGTTGATTTACAACCAACAATAAAATTTCGAATAGAACGGCCAATTAAAATAAAAGGCAGACATGCTCAGAAAAAAATCTCTTGACAGGCATTCTGTTCTGTTGCTATCAGCTACCTTCGACAGCGACTAACAGCCGAGCGAAGTGACTCAACTGATTTTGTTAAACTAGTTGTAAACTAGGAAAAAGTCTATATACCAGTTTGATAACGCTTGCTAATCGCAAACAGAAATACTTACTTTCCACTTCCCTTGATAGCACGCCAGTTTTTTTTCGCGTATCAAACGACGCAAAAAGCGACTACTAAGCTGATATAAAACAAGCCGAAATCTATCAAGCCGAAAAAAAGAACAAGCCGAGTGGTAAAAATATAACCAATTGAAAACGTGCGGAAGGAAGCGCAAAAAACGTGTTTTCGTTGAAACGACACAAAATTTGGTCACTAAATTGATAAACAACAGGCCTAAATAAATAAGCTGATTGGGACAATGTAATAAGATAAACGATGTCTTGTGATTGGAACATGAAGAATCACAAAAACTGGACTAGCATAGATAGATGGACGCTATTAAGAGAAAGTAGATACCTAAAACCCAAAATACCGAGATACTTAAGAGCCGATTCTATGTCACCCAAATTACCTCAACCTACAAAAAAACTGTCTCTGCTGCGTGGCTTCGTAGGATTTTGATAGATAAATATTTTTCAATATTCTCTCTCCCACCTCTGAAAATGAATGGTACTCAAAAAAACATAGCAGATAATTGAACTTTACAGCACAGCAACTTCAACAGGTTGGGTGGGGAGGCAAACCATCCATCACTATTGTGGTTGTTTTTATGTAGTGTTTTTAACCTGTATCTCCTCAGCAGACGGACATATCTCAGTGTGTTTTCTCAGTATGGTGTTGTCGTTGTTGGAGGGCACCGCACTGATCTGTACACAGCCTGGAAACATAGTCAACACTTCCCTCTCACGCTGCCCAATTTTAGCCCTCATACCTTGCTCGCGATGCTCACGTCGCAACATCTCCTGGTGCTCGGCCTGCAGTCGTATTTGCTCAATCTGCTGGAAGGCCTGGGTGAGTTTCTTGTCGTGTGCTTTAAGATTGGGGTTCACCTTCAACTTGTACTCAGTCAAGTGTTTGCGGCCTTTGAGATGGTCGTCGCGCATGTATTTGTTGTTCATGTCGCAGTCACAAATAGTGCACTTGTAGTTGATGACCTTGCCGTGTTTATCCTTCTCCTCCACAATGCACTCCCTGCCCACTATAGGCTTCTCCTCTTTCACCGGCGGGGCAGCAACTGGCATCACTTGCTCCTGTGACTTCTGCGGTCGATCAGAAGTGAGCTCCATCTGAACAGAACATGCATATTTACAGCACAAAACAGTCACAGTCATTGCCCAGTCAGTCAGAATCTAACGCAGTGTCGCAAATTTAGCTTTACTGTTGTGGTAAACTTGTTGAATAATTCAAATGAAGCAAAGCTACTGTACATCCACTAACAACAATTGAATTGACAATAATTTCAGGATGCTGTGTTTGAAAGAAACTGACGAACGAGAAAGAATGCACTATAAAAAGACTGTTTTTGAAAACAAATCAGTTTTTGAAAACACCTCAAGGATACTCGAGGAGACCGTTGGATACAACGCCCGCCACATAAATAGACGAGATCACGCTCAAAAATCTAAGCAACTAACAAGCGGCAGCGAAAAGTCAGCTCGACTCTCCTTCGAGCTACTCCGCCTCATATCAAGTTTGGTTATTGCATTCATTATACAGTGTTGATTTGAAGCTTTTCAAGGGTAAAGATACACAAAAAGTAATGAGAAAAAAATTTGCTTAGAATTTCACCAGAATCGACATGGTGCATCCGAAATTCTCAACCAAAACTTTACCCCAAAAATGGGCCATTTTTTTAATTAATCAGAAATTACTCTGAAACTACTTCTTAATAGATGCGAATACTATATCGCAAGAATCCTGTTAAACAGCCCAACAAGGTTAAAGAAGGATCAAATCTCCAAAAACATGTATAATAGAAAAGAAAATATTTTTGCTTTTGATAGTCAATAAATGTGATTTTTACTATATAAAACCCAAAATCTTCGCTTATAAACAAATTGTAAGCAATTTGCGCAAATTGTTGGAGATTCAAACCTTCTAGAAGATTGTTGGGCTGTGTAGGAGACTTCTTGTGATATAATTTTTTCATCTATTAACAAATTAGTTTCAGCGTAATTCTTGATTCATTAAAAAAAGCCAAAATGACCCATTTTGAGGTAAAATTTTGGTTCAGAATTTCGGAGAATTATAACAACTTATAAATTATATTGATAAGCAACTTCTCTTCTTTTCGTTTTTTGTCTGACTTCAGCTCTATTTGAGAAAAACGCTTTTTGAAAATTCAAGTTTCGTTTTGACCGGATAATATAAATCGGCTAGATCTGCTCCAAGATGTTTATAATCTGATTGGTTGCTTTGAATCCTTAAATGCAAGAAAATTACTGATTTAATCAAAACATTTCACTGAAAAACGTTTGGTAATTACTTGTGATTACTGAAAAAGAGAAATGATTTTTGTGAGATTTTTAAGCTATCAAGACTGACATTCTAAGCTGTATATTCCTGCTAAATGTTTTTTCAAAAAACCTTTTCAAAATTTGAAAATAGTATTGAGTATTCATAGCTAATAATACTACTACTAATGCGTTTATTATCCGTTTTCCAATAGTGGCGGGGTTGGACTTCCAGAAAGCGCGTTAGTTATGGTTTAGATGGATACAACCAAAATCAGCACTATACTCTACCGCATACGACGGCTAGATCTGCTCCAAGATGTTTATAATCTGATTGGTTGCTTTAAATCCTTAAATGCGAGACAATGACTGATTTAATCAAGACATTTCACAAAACTACGTTTAATGGTTATTTAGGATTACTGAAAAAGTTCTGTCTTTTCTGAGATTTTTAAGCTATCAAGACTGACACTCTAAGCTGTATATAGTGCAAAATGTTTTTTTTTTCAAAAACCTTATCGATATCTGAAATGGGTATTGAGTATTTACAGCTACTAATACTACTACAAAAGCATTTATTATCCCTTTTTGCATTGTGGCGGGGTTGGACATCAAGAAAGCGCGTAAGCAATGGTTCAGATGAGGGCATTCTCAATAACATTCAAGCTATTAAATGGAGGATAACACGTTTTTCCATGTCGTTCGATCAAAACAGTCTGTAGATTTGAGGCCTAAAGTACTCAGGACACGTTTAACACAACCGATCCAGCGTTTTTTAGGCCTTCCTGGTTTTTACCAGGGACTAAAACATGGTGCTGATTTTAGCGCATGGTCATTTTCTCTTCGGTGAACATGGCCATACCATCGTAGCAGCGACCGCGCTCGTAGCTTGTCCAGATTAACAAGACATCTCATTTTAATTTCTGCTTCGTTGATAACTTTGTCTTTATAAGCGAATCCTACGCAGATCTTTCATGTCAGCACTCTTAAGAGAGCTGGATATTGTATTGGTTTGCGCCCAAGTTTCGGAGCAGCACATCAGAACTGTCCGGAGACAAGCTCCGTAGATATGACACCTTGTAATCAAGTCAAAATCTTTATTCAGCAGCAGAGGGGCACTTTGCCTTCATTTAATTCAGAAAGCTGCTATTCTGACCAATGATACACATACTGCGTCACTATCAACGGAGAACACATCACCCAGATAGCAAAACTCTTTGACAGTACTAAGGATTTCAAATTGATTAGGCCGCAGAGTAGCATTCTGATTTGAGTGATAATTGGAAGGATTATTGCATCTTGGACAAACATAACTAGTATTTTGTTTAGGTATTTTTCTCAGGCTACTGCATTTTTCATGCACACAATGATGACAAGAATTGTAACGTATTGAATTGACGCCGGCTCCCTTCAAACAAGAAGATGGATATTTTCCAATTTTTTGAGGAGTAGAACTATGGCCTGGAAAAAAACGCTTTAAACCTCGACTTTTAAACCACGTTTTCGCAAAGACCTGTTCCAAGTATTCGAGTTCTCAATAGACCGGTATTCCGTTTCAGCGAACATCACGAGATCATTTGCATATAGCAAATCCCATGATATCATGGTACGATATCTCGTAGCCTCTTGCATTACCTCGTAGCCTCTTGCATTACTATTATAAAAAACAAAGGGCTTAGTGCCGATCCTTGATGCACGCCTACTTTAACTTCAAAGTAATCACTTTCAACTGGGTGTGCAAACAAATTATTAGTAGTACCAAATTTTTTTTCATGATGCTTATTGAGTATTCACTAAATTTTTGAACTAAACTCACACAAAAAACACAAGAAAGGTGGATGAACAACATGGAGGACTCCTAATAATTTTTATTTCATTATCTTCAGTATCCAAGTTAACTGTGTACTTTCCCAAAAACGCATTTGTTTAATTCAACCTGATTGGTTAATTTCACATTCAATCGCAACAATATTTGCGTCGCAACAATATTTGCGACTTAGGTTGGAAAAAAAAGATAGTTCATACTATTACACAAGCTATGCATGTGTAAAGACAAAAAAAACCTACCATAGAAAAGAAGTTGTTTCGATTATGCTCGTCGAATGTTGGCACACTTAAAAGAAAATGCCTTGAGATATGCAAAACTCTAGAACAAAGACAGGTATCGGTGAAAGTTTTGGAGACGGCGAAAAGAAAATTAATTTTTCTGGTAGAGGAACTCAGAAGGCACAAATATTGTTGCAATAGCCATCAATTGTCAACTTATTAAAAAACGTACTGAAGTCAGTATAGTAAAAGAACGTGTTCTAAGCCTTATACTTGTAAGAAACTCATGGTGCTAAGAATCTCATGGTTTCAACTACTTATATGACTAATACTAATATATAAACATACACAGGCGAAGTTGTACTTCGCATACACAAGCAAAAAATGACCAATAGTGCGACTGGGATCGCATGAGTGAAACTTTGAGTCTACAAAATTTCTCAAGTGACACAAGCCACTTAGCATTACCAGAAAATTCGAAAAACGAAAAATTTATCATATTCACATGCCTCAGTTTATAGAGCGGACGCATTTTAGCTAGCATACGAAAAACTTCATTAAAAACATGCGACCTCACCCAGGTTCAAAGCTTCTTATTTTGTTGCGGGTCTCCTCCCTACCTCTACGCTACAGACCCATGATACCTTAAAGCTAAAGTGCCATTTGTAATATAAAATCAAAATGAACAAATTTTGTCGCAGCGATAATTGCGACTTAGGTTTAGAAAAAAAAAGAGCTCACACTATAACACAAGCTATGCTTGCATTAGGACGAAAAAACCTATCATAGAAAACAAGCCGTTCCGATTATGCTCGTGGAACGTTGGCACACTAAAAAGAAAATGCCTTGAGATATGCAAAACTCTAGAACAAAGACAGGTATCGGTGAAAGTTTTGGAGACGGCGAAAAGAAAATTAATTTTTCTGGTAGAGGAACTCAGAAGGCACAAATATTGTTGCAATAGCCATCAATTGTCAACTTATTAAAAAACGTACTGAAGTCAGTATAGTAAAAGAACGTGTTCTAAGCCTTATACTTGTAAGAAACTCATGGTGCTAAGAATCTCATGGTTTCAACTACTTATATGACTAATACTAATATATAAACATACACAGGCGAAGTTGTACTTCGCATACACAAGCAAAAAATGACCAATAGTGCGACTGGGATCGCATGAGTGAAACTTTGAGTCTACAAAATTTCTCAAGTGACACAAGCCACTTAGCATTACCAGAAAATTCGAAAAACGAAAAATTTATCATATTCACATGCCTCAGTTTATAGAGCGGACGCATTTTAGCTAGCATACGAAAAACTTCATTAAAAACATGCGACCTCACCCAGGTTCAAAGCTTCTTATTTTGTTGCGGGTCTCCTCCCTACCTCTACGCTACAGACCCATGATACCTTAAAGCTAAACTGCTATTTGTAAAATAAGATCAAAATGAACACTTTCAAAGTGAACACATTTTGTCGCAACAAAATTTGCGACTTAGGTTGAAAAAAAAGAGAGTTCATACTATAACACAAGCTATGCTTGCGCAAAGAGGAAAAAACCAACCCCAGAAGTCGTTCCAATTATGCTCGTGGAACGTTGACACACTAAAAGGAAAATGCTTTGAGATAAGCGAAACTCTAGAAAAAAGAAGGTATCGGTGAGCTATCTACAAAAAACTCGTTTCAAAGGAAACGACAAGAAAGCTTTGGAGATGGCGACAAGAAATTTAGTTTTTCTGAAAAAGAAACTCAGAAGGCACAAATATTGTTGCAAAAGCCATCAATAGACA